TTTTGGTCTGGATATCTACCTCACACAGTTCATCTTTGCCTTAGTAGAATTCCCTGCACGTCTGGGCAGTTTGCCTCTCATCCAGCACTTCGGGAGGAAAATATGTCAAGCAGGGGTCCTGTTGTTTGCAGGTGCAGCTTGTCTTGGGATACTTGTTATTCCAAAAGGTAATTTGTTTGGTAATAATAGGACAAATCCCATTTTTCTCTAAACGATACCCAGTGATACCTTTGCTACATCCGTCTACTAACCAAAGACATGTTTTGAACAAATGTGTTTTTGTCTGATTTATTATTTGTCCATCAGACCTTCCTGTGGTGGTAACCATCATAGCTATAGTTGGAAAATTTGCCGCCACTGCCAGTTTCTCCATAGTCTATGTTTATACTGGAGAACTCTACCCTACCACTTTAAGGTAAGCAAGGTAGTGTCCCAGAGGTAAAACATAAAATTCTGTTATTATACTTAATATTAGTGGAAAATGTCATGTTGTCCATTGTTAAATGCTGTGAGATGCTGACAAGTCTATTGTCTACGCTGGCAGGCAGAATGGTGTAGGTCTAAACTCCATGTGTGCTCGTGTGGCGGGCATCCTCGCTCCGCTGATCAGGCTCCTGGACGTCTACCATTACACCATTCCCATGCTGATATACGGCATCGTCCCCATTGTTGCTGGGGGTATTTGTTTACTCCTGCCTGAAACCCTCAATGTTGAACTCCAGGACCACCCTGATCTCCTGTGAGTTGATGAACTCTTTCACAACAGAGCGTTTATTCCTTTACAAGAAACTCAGAGCAGTATATAATAATCTTTTTGTTATTAATTACAGAAAACCTGAGAATGGGCCTCAGACGCGATCCTTCAATGAAGAGGAGCAATCAGAAAAGAGCACCAAAATGTAATTTATATGGACGTATATATATACATATATAGAATATATATATATAATTAATAGTTTGCCTGCTGTCAACTGATAAAACGGATTTATCAGAATGCAATTATCTAAATGCAAAGCATCAATTGAATCATGTTGAAATTATGACACATGATTTTATTTTTTATTGTTACAATCTGTTAATAAATGTTTTACTCCCGCAAAAGTTATAAACTGTATGATAAATTGGATTTGTATTTATATATTAAATGATGCATGTATATTTGCTAATACACTTATTTGTTTGAGTTGTTTCTTTAAGTTGTTCCTCTAAATACATGTTTTTAAAATGAATAATACTTCAGGAACCTACACTGAACTGACTCCAGTGCAACTTCAGGTAAGTTGCCTGTTTGGCTTTATACGCTGTATGGTCTTCACTCTTGCTTTGTGCATTCCCTCTCTTTTTTTGTAAAGTTATATTTCACTATTAGTTATTCTTATTTTATTGCCGTTTCACTGTTTGAACATGAGGATTGATTTGCTCTCACTGCCTTCAAGTTTACTGTTCTCACTATCTTTATGACTATGATGATCCTTTTACAACCCTTTCAAAGTTCTTGTGTCTATTTTATGCTTTGTAAACATCAAAGGGTTACTCCAGCCATTTAGTAAAGCATCTTTAAGAGAGAATTTAATAAATGGTGAAAGATGTACTGCCTTATTATGATCAAATTATATTAAAAATGTCTGGACTCTATCGCCAAGCCGAGATGACCCTGACAACCCTTTCCTAGCTTTGATAAAGCTCTTTCAGAGTTACAGAAGACATTTTACAACCGTTTTCACAGGATCACTTCCCAAAATAGAAAATCTGATTGAGGAAATAGGTTTTGATTCTATGGCCAGCGTGGTCTTCATGTGACCGTGTGCTCTTTAACAACTCTTCAAGTCTATCGTGGCACAGAAGTGCACATTTTAAACTGACAAAATTAAAGAAAAAACACAACAATCAGATTCAAAATGGCATCTTATAAAGGTACAATAGGTACCTGCTGTCTTTCTTATTCTCCTCTCATTTAACAAGGGCCTAACTTATACTGTGTATTTTTGACTTAAAGAGTAGACATAGACTACTGTGGGGTTTTCATGTTGTAACCTGTTGAGCGATAAGAAAAAGTGACCGCTAGTGTATCTTTATGGAAATATTGTGTTTTTCACTTCATGGACACCGTATTTGAAAGATTTCTGACTCCACGTGTTTGTGACCAATCAGAAAGAGAAGGTGGTGGTTTGGAGATTGAGGTCGAACGACGACCCAACTCAGACTTTGAAGAGCATTCCTGATTAGACTTTTTTAAAGCCCTTTATACACACTTCATAAGTGCAGACTCTAATTGAGAAAAGTACCCAAAGTATTGCTCTAAAAGCAGGTGTGATGCAACTGATGAGGATGAGCTGCACTCCAGCTGGACTTCAGCCTTAAGGATCCTGACATCACATTTCAATACTTTGGTAGTCTGGGAGGCCATAAAAGCACTGTGATTGTCAGTTTAAACATTAACTTGCAGGACTAGAGTCAAGTTGACAGTCGGTGGCTGGACGTTTTCTTTTTAAGCCGGACCTTTCTCTGTCCTACGCTGAACATCCAGATACCAAATATGAGCAACTTCGGGCAGATCCTGAAGGAGATTGGAGAGTTTGGTTTGTTTCAGAAGCGTTTAGTGGCAGCGTTAAGTATCCCCATCGTGTTTACAGCTTTTGATATAATCGGTCAGGTGTTCACGGGCCTGAGCTTCCCACATCACTGTAACACTGACTGGATCTTGAAGCTTGGGCCAAACCTGACGGATGAGAGACAAAATAATCTCACCCTCCCTGTGAACAAGGATGGGAAGTATGAAAGCTGTGAAATGTTCTCACCTGTGGATTTGGATTTGGAAATAATTGAAGCGTCTGGGATGAACACTACAACTGGATGCATAAATGGTTGGGATTTTGAGGCCCCCAAAGGTGCCTCCAGCATCGTGACAGAGGTGAGCGATAGTTGTACCATTCAATGTATTTCTTGTGATTTATGTGAGCATACTTTTTTTGTTTTTGTTTATTTTATTAGTTCGGTGTTATTTATCAGTTGTTCAGTTTGACTTTTTATCCCTTCTGAGCCACCATACTGTTCTGACAGCATTTCGTGATGCTGCTGTTTAGCGATGGGTTGGTTCGACATATTTATAAAAATCACAACATAAGAAATTAAAAAAATACAATTTAAACTTGCTAACATAAAGTACTCCATACTACAATACAACTATTAGAATGATGGGATTGATTTGCATCCACTCAATAGCAGCACAACAAGCAGAACACTTTGTTAGTGAGAAGATTTGAGATGATGGAATCACCACCACTGATGGAAAAAACCCTTTTATATTTAACCGACTGCCATTTTCAGTTATTAAACATCTCAAATAGGGGCTGAGAAAAACAACACTTAGTTAGGTGTTTTGGTCTCCTCTCACCATCCTTCTTGTCACCAGTTCAACCTGGTGTGTGACAGAAGCAGTTTGATTGAGGCGTCACAGTCCATCTACATGGCCGGTCTTCTGATTGGAGCGCTGGTTTTGGGGCAGATGGCTGACAGGTGCACATCCACTCCCACCTTTATATGTACTTGATAGTTATGATTCTGAACAGGTTGCTCTTTACTTTTAAGTCATCCGAGCACCAATAGAAGTTTTTAAAAGGTGCTAAATTCAGAGCAGAGCAGCAATCAACTATTAGCTAAAATATATTGTGAAGTAATGGCGTCCTGAGCAGAGGATGAAGTTACTCTCTCTCTCTATGTGTTGCAATCTAAGCTTCTCTGTGCTGATAGCTGATCCGGCCGCACATGTTAGTACATGTGAGTGCTTGTGTGTGTGCCCCATGTAAAGCCCCCCGATTCCCCCTCAAGTAAACACTGTTAGCTCTGTGTGTTTTCACTGTTCGTGCTGTTAGCATCGTTAGCTGCTAGCCGCCGGCTCAGCCGTCGCCATATGGAGGCAATCACTCAATCATAGATATGCTCTGGATTTCAAATGTAGCACCTTTTAACAATTCAAGGAAACACTTTTATACATTCAGTCTATCTGTTAAAATGATTTGTATTGTTCTGAACTTAAAGGAGAGAAAGATTCATATACATCCTTATACACAACTCAAGCACCAATGTTCTTCTCCTCTCTTCCTAGGTTTGGTCGACGCTTTGTGGTCCTGCTTTCACTCCTTCTCCTGCTGGTGTTTGGTGTCGGTGCTGGTTTCTCACCCAACATCTATGTTTACATTGTTCTCAAATTTTTAAGTGCCTTCTCCGTTTCAGGCATTCTTGTTAATGCATTTGTGATAGGTATGTAAAATGTTCACGACCGAAAATTCTTGTGGCGTTTGAAGAGCATTATTGTTACAGTGTTACAAACAGCGACAATATTCAAATTAGATGTATTTACATTGATAATATAAGTGGGTGCATTTCTATTTCATTCTACCACTGGGGGCCGACAAAGTCAGACACTTCATTCTACACTTAGCATCTTTAAGTGATTGGTAGATTTCACTGGCACAGTCACAGAGGGAAGAAAACACAATTCTGTTTGTCTTTATAATCAGATACACAAAGTGCCTCCATTTGCAACAGGAGTTATTTGTAAAATTGAAATGAAAGTCACAAATGGTTGCAAGCTGCAACTCCTTTTGTGTTACAGAAGCAATCATACTCTACATTTAACTTAATGTTGTCAAAATGACAGTAAAGTTAGTTATAAGGCTTGCAAGTAACCTACTTTCTACAACTAACGTTTTAAAAATAACATGGTATTATTGCTTTAAAGGTGGAGAGTGGAGTGATTCCTCCAAGTTTGCTTTCTGCACCATTATCTGCAACACTGCTGTCCCTCTTGGACTGATGCTGTTGTCTGGCATTGCCTATTTGATCCCTAACTGGAGGATCCTGCAGCTGGTGCTCTACAGCCCTCTTGTCGTTGTCCTGGGAATCTTTTACTGGTCAGCGGCCTCTAAGACCTCATGGACCTCATGGATGCTAATCTTAATTTTAACTGTGGAGGATAAAATAAAGTTGATGTAAAACCTATATGTCCATTAGGATTCTTCCAGAGTCAGCTCGCTGGCTCATCACTCAGGGCAGGAAGGAGGAAGCCATAAAGGAGGTCCGGAGGGCTGCCAGGGTGAACGGAAGGGAGGTCCCAGAAGATCTGCTCAACAAGGTGAGCTGCTTCAACCAAAGCCAAATCAAACACAATAAAGCTCTCGGATAAATATACACCAACTTAAAAACAATTACACCTACATTTTCTTTAGCTGGACGATGAGGGTACATCCAAAAGAAGAAGCATGTTGGACATCTTCAGGATATCATATCTGAGAAAACGTGCGATCATTATGAGCTACGTGTGGTGAGTATTCATTGCAACCACAACCTGCTGCTGCGTCTACAGCTTTACCTGTAAACCAGAGACATACTTGCTTTTAACTACAAGGCCAAGGCGTGCACATAATGTCTGCGTCGCGTATCCTGCATCTGTTCGGAGCATTGGTTGTGCACATCCTCTGAAATTAAGTTATACATGGTGTAAATATATGATGATCAATTCAGTTCACGACGCAGACAGTTTTCTACGTGAACGTGAGGTTAAGAAGCAAGTATATCTCAGGGCTTATAGTTACACTGAAGATATCTTTGCCATTCTGTTAACAGGTTTGGAACAAGTCTGGTGTACTATGGACTGATCCTGAATGTGGGCACTTTTGGTCTGGATATCTACCTCACACAGTTCATCTTTGCCTTAGTAGAATTCCCTGCACGTCTGGGCAGTTTGCCTCTCATCCAGCACTTCGGGAGGAAAATATGTCAAGCAGGGGTCCTGTTGTTTGCAGGTGCAGCTTGTCTTGGGATACTTGTTATTCCAAAAGGTAATTTGTTTGGTAATAATAGGACAAATCCCATTTTTCTCTAAACGATACCCAGTGATACCTTTGCTACATCCGTCTACTAACCAAAGACATGTTTTGAACAAATGTGTTTTTGTCTGATTTATTATTTGTCCATCAGACCTTCCTGTGGTGGTAACCATCATAGCTGTACTTGCTGCATTTGCCGCCACTGCCAGTTTCTCCATAGTCTATGTTTATACTGCAGAACTCTACCCTACCACTTTAAGGTAAGCAAGGTAGTGTCCCAGAGGTAAAACATAAAATTCTGTTATTATACTTAATATTAGTGGAAAATGTCATGTTGTCCATTGTTAAATGCTGTGAGATGCTGACAAGTCTATTGTCTACGCTGGCAGGCAGAATGGTGTAGGTCTAAACTCCATGTGTGCTCGTGTGGCGGGCATCCTCGCTCCGCTGATCAGGCTCCTGGACGTCTACCATTACACCATTCCCATGCTGATATACGGCATCGTCCCCATTGTTGCTGGGGGTATTTGTTTACTCCTGCCTGAAACCCTCAATGTTGAACTCCAGGACCACCCTGATCACCTGTGAGTTGATGAACTCTTTCACAACAGAGCGTTTATTCATTTACAAGAAACTCAGAGCAGTATATAATAATCTTTTTGTTATTAATTACAGAAAACCTGAGAATGGGCCTCAGACGCGATCCTTCAATGAAGAGGAGCAATCAGAAAAGAGCACCAAAATGTAATTTATATGGAAGTATATATATACATATATATTTATATATATGTAAATATATATATATAGAATATATATATTCTATATATAATATAATATATTATAATATATATATAATAAATAGTTTGCCTGCTGATAAAACAGATTTATCAGAATGCTCTCAATTACATTATACTTTTTACTTGTTTAGCTAGAGATGCATCTGAAAGCATGTTGGACATCTTCTGGATACCATTTTACAAAGTGACGTATGTCTCATAATAATAAGTCAAATGGACATTTGTTTTTACAGTTTTTCGTCAGAATTTGTTTTTCATTTCTGAAAACCAGAAAATGGCCCTACAGGGAACTAAATCCATGCTGAACAAATTAAAGAAATGCTGAAAAAGACCAAGAAGCTGTAACCTTTGTTGCAACTTGGGACACAGGTTCATTTTTTTTTAACATGCAGGAGGTGAAATATACTGTACTTGAGTAATACAAACATGGGCTGAAAAATAAAACACACACAAAAGCCAAAAGGTTATTGAGACATATTATTTTATTAACACAATTTGTGAAATTGTTTTTTTTTTGCATCATATTATATATTACAATCATATTATAACTGGAAGGTTGTAATAAACTGATTCACACCCACAATGATTCAATTTATTTTTACATTTCTGCAATATTCACTCATTAGATTGGATTAGATCAAATGTTGTGTCCGGTGCACCGTATCAGTTAGAGATGTTGTAGACCACAATATCAACATGATGGGTAATAATGGAACTGGTGGAATAACGTTTTTGATTATTTTCTGTTATCCCAGTTAACATCTAATTTACAAACCACAAGAAATAATTATGCAAAAAATGTTTACTAAAAATTGTTGCAATAACTGAACTAAAATAAATGCACAAGTTGATTCAATACAACTGACTGTATGATTAAGCCATTTAGGTTGTAGGTTATGTTCCAACACACTATCATGCGTTACCAGTATATGAACACACTGTCAAATTTGGAGATCAGTTGGCCATTGCATGGGGCCTCAAACACATCTTTACATTTGTTGTCACAGTCACCATCGAATCAGCTGAGGACAGAAAGAGAACACAGTTTTAATGGAGCGTTTCAGTGTTCATGAATGATCGTGAATATGGTCCTAGATAAGCGTTGCCTGCTGATACTCACATTGAGTATTTATGCCTCAGACTCCGTCTCATTGGACACAGCAGTGTTCCTGAGAAGCCATCGGTTCTTGTGTTGAGCATGTCCAAAGCCCTCGTCATAATTCCCTTTTCTTCTGAACAGTTGTTGGTAGTGAAATATGCAGTAGAATTCTCCATATAGAGGTGCGTAATTGTACATGCTACAAATGAGCACAATTTGTCAGGTACAGATACATTTATGGTCTGCATTTGCTAGAAGATACTGTAGTTAGGGTATTTTCGCAGTTACAGTCGCTATGTGGCACATTTAGAGTTCACTTGGGGGGTTTAAAACCTTTTAAATGAATCATGTGTATTTCATTTTGCATTTTTGAAAATCATCCTTCAAAAGTTGTCATGTCTCTTAACCTCTTAGCCAGTGGTTACCAGATATCTTCTGCCGTGATTGTCACTTGTCACAGCAGGAAAAGTACAGGGGGAACTAATGACATTAATGATGACTCGGTTCCAGCAATTACAGTACTGCAATGCAATGCAGCAATTAACAATCGTACAACTTACACCTGTGTTTGAAGAGTCAAAATATCTGCCATGAAAAAGGTCTATTCAACTTTAGTTTCATTTGACATTTGTCTGACGGTCATGTGTTGCCTCAGTTTGGGAACCAGTGCTCCGAATGAATATTTAAATAATTTTCAATCTGTAAAAGCATTACTACTGCTAAATAAAATCGAAGTAATTTGCCAAAAAAAGAGATAAAACGCACAACAAACAAAGTCAAAGATGAGTTTGACTAATGGCATTTTCTGGATAATATAGTTAATATGTGAATTCTTTTGCCCACGATAACTGTCGTGAAATACTGATATTTTGACTGCCCTAATACAATATTTCAACAAATCAATCAATTATTAATTTAAAGATTTTTAATATATTTGGAAACCATTCATTTTATTGTAGTTATTGGCCCGAATATAAGATGAAGTTTCTCACAACTGTGGGTGTATTATGTTTTACAATAGTAGATGTTCTCTGTGAATGTTTGGAGCTAACGGAGTGGGCCTGTGACTTTAAGTGTGTTGCATTATGGGTTGTTTGTAGCCTTAATATTGATTGGCTAGTTAGTTTCCTCCATTTATTTGTCTGGTTAAGTTTACCAATTGCAAAAGTGTCCTAACACCAGGCGTTAGCTCCCATCTGTGCTCAGGCCAGGTCTATTTTATATTTTCAGACACATAAAGTGTTATTTGTCTTGTCCTGCTTACTCTTATATTCAGGCCAATGCAAAATGTGTAATAACTCATTTTGGCACAGAAAATAATTCAATATTTGAAATCAATGATCAATGTTGCAGGTGATTTTCCTGGAAAATATTTCAGTATCTCACCTTAATTTTTTCTTGCACTGTTTACAACAAAAGCAAGTTTGATGAAAAATGTATTTGTCTGCAGTAATTTTTTCCATCGGATAAACCGTCTTCAAACAGGCGGAACACATGTCTCGACAAGCTGGTTGAAACTGATGAGAGAAATGAGACCAAGCTGGGTTAAAATAAAGAAAAAAGTATAATAAGCATCAATAGCAACAAACAAAAGTATAATGAAAACCAATAACGCATCTTCAATTTCAATTGCAAATTAAAAACAGTTTTAAATAATGCAAGCAACAAATAAATCCTCAAATTATCAATAAGAACATTTGCAACCTATAATAAGGTGTAAGAAATAAACAAACAGGCAATCATAACAAACTTCATATCTTCGCAAATAAATTATGTACATAACAACTTTGTTATAAAATGTATGAGAATACAGGTGGTAACAAACTGCACCTGTCTGTGAATGATTTAAAGTTTCTGATTGACTGGCAGCTGAACTTCTGGGTGCTTGGTGATCTGGTACGTAGCTGGACTGACCGCTGCCTGACCTGTGGATGTTGCAGCTTCCGGCTGACCAGTAACAACAGTGGAGGTTTCGGAAGAATAAAACAGGTTCTCTGTGACTGTTTTGGTGCCCATAATACTGTTTCCCTTGTGGTCAGTCTTTACCTCAAGTACACTGAGCTCTCTTTTGGGGTTGTAAGAGGACTGCTTTTTACCTCCTTTTTGGGGCTCCCTTTTTCTGTTTTGAGCAGGACTGTTGCATGTCAGGGTTTTAGTTGTCCGGAATTTCTCCTTTGTTTTTGGGCTGTTCTGACATGTCGGGCAGATTGTGGTCTCTGGTGGATGCAACTCTGATTTATCGGTCTTTTTAGCAGCCGACTGGATGGAGATGAAGGCAGGTGAGGATGGAGGACTTGCTCGTTGTTTTGCAGGGGCTACTTCAATTCTTGCACTCTTGCTTCCCTGTGCTGTGGGGCTTTCCTTTGTCTGCAATGATTTTGTCCTGCTTGACCCGATGCTAATTTTGCTAATGCTACCAGAGGGTGGGGATCCTTGCTCGGACCCTAGTGACTCTTTGAACAGGCATGATAAACCAACAATATCTGAGTCAGATTTCAAGGTAGAGACAGAATAAAGAGCCTTCTTTATTGCTTCCTCTATGTCCACAAGTCTGGCTAAAGTCTGCTCTTTTAGATTCACGATTTCCTCACTGGCTCGCTCAAGATCTCCAAAAACATGTGCCATTGAAGACTTGCTTTCAGTGCTGTCTTTCTCTAATGGCAACCTCCCTTCTTTGTGTTCTACTTTGGCTGTTTTTTGTTTGTTTTTGTCAGAGCTGACAACCCAGTCGGGAACGTTCTCAAAGACCCCCCTCAGAGACCCTACATCAACCTTGCTTGTGTCCTGTTCAATTTCTTCAACTCGACTGAGAATGCTGTGCAGTTCCTCCTGCTTTCGCAAGTTGTCAACAATTTCCATGGCTGCTGTTATGTTCCCTCTCATGATTTCATCCATGTGAACTGACAGCCGCTGTCGGCGTTCGTCCTCTGTCTCCGTTCGTCCTTTCTTTTCCCTCATTTCAACTTTACTTTCTTGTTTCATTTCTTTCTTGTGTGTGTCTTTGCTGTCAGTAGTTTGTCCACAGGTGTTTGGGTTATTGCCTGATGGACCAGTTAGAGTTTGTTGAGGTTCCTCAACCGCATCTGTGAGAAATGAGGAATTATCTCCAGACAGTTTGGGGTTTTTATTGTCAAGCTGAGCAATTTTAACTGTTTTTGGCTTTACGGGAGCATTCTTTGCTGAAAATGCCTTTTTACCTCCAAATTTCTTACATGCTTCATGAAAATCTACATGGCTTTCATCTGTTTCCTGTATATTTTCTTTGTTTGGGAAGTCCTGGGGGCTTTTCTCTTCTGCTTTGGCATTTATCTCCTGTTGTAGCTGAATGTTATTATTATCATTATTATCATCAGTGTTTATTTTGAACAGGCCTTGCTTATGTTCATCTTTGCGTGACTTTAATATCAATGGCAATGGTTGAAGAACTGTGTCTTCAGGTCTCACAGCATTAGTTTGTGTGGCCTCTGGATTCTTTGTGTTGTTTGGTTGAATGTCTCGTTGTTTCACTTTCAAATGCTCCGGCTTAGGTTGGATGGCAGGACCAACAGGCCCTTTGATTTTCTCTGAGACAGCACTTGTAGCCGGTTTATTTAGGGTTTCACTTTGACTTTGGGGCTCTGCATTTGCCGCAATCAATTGTTCTTTGGAGTCCTCTTGTCTCAGTGGTGCTTGAGTTGATTTAGGTTCCGTCACAGGGCAAAACTCCTTTTTAGTGGGTTTTTGAGCAAACACTGCATCCACATTTTCCGATCTTTCTTTGTGAGGTTTGGACACGTTTCTGTATATCATAGCTGCTCTGAAATCTCCTCTACTGACATTGATGTTGGATTTCTCTAGGGAATCCAAAGCTGCTTGAAGTTTACCCTCAAAAACTACTTCCTCATCCTCTTGCTCTACAGCGGTTGTTTCTGGACTATGTACAGACACCATAGCAGCTTGAAAGGGTTGTTTCAGGACCACTTCTGTGCCTTTTTGACCCATTTTGCTGCATGTCTCAGTAGTTTGTACATCTTCAGAATTAGTGTCTCTACAGCTTGTCTCTTTATTCTCATGTTTGTGATCTGATTTATGTTCTGAGGGGATGTTGGAGGTGGATGGGAGCTCATCCCATGCTGGCTCAGTGCATGAGTCCTCTCTTTGGTCCTCAGGTTCTTGTGATGAGTGTTTCAAAGATTTGGCCTCAATCGTGGCCTGTTGGAGGCTATGTATTGCAGTTTGGAGGTTTGATATCTTGTCCTTGCCATCTACCACCTCAACTAATTCAGCCTGGTGCACCCTGCCATCGTCCTGTGTCTCAAGATGCAGATATGATCCCTGTGGTGCTTCCTCTTGTGTTTTGCCACCACACTGTCTAAAGCTATTCTTTACTTGCCCATGAATGCATTCTGTAGAGGACCGGCCCTTTCCAAGTGGCACATTTTGACCTGTAAATGTGGAACAAATGGTGGTAGATTGGGCACGGTTTTCATATGCATTTTGCTTTGGTTGGGTTGGTCTTTGATCTCCAGAGAATATGTTTCTCAGTCTCTTAACATCCACTGGGACCCATTCGGAATTCTCCTCTGCTTGATCACCTCTCTGTTCACGATGAAGCTCTATTCCTTGTCCAGTCACATTTTGGTTTTGAGGGAGTTCTTGTTCTTGTACTGTTGGCTCAGCCTGAAGAGTTTTTAAATACTCCAAATCTCCCTTTTCAATACAACTCTTGAACAGTTTTACATTCCCTTTTTCTGTGATTTCAGGCTGTATGGATTCATGGTAAGTTTGATCTTTGGGAATTTCTAGGAGGCAGCTTATGGTTGATTTAATGACCCCCTTTCTTAGTTCCTTATTGTCTGTGTTACTCACATTACCTCTTACTGGCTCTGGTTCATCATACTCTGCACCTTGTGGAGGACAATAACTTTTCACATCTTCCTCATCAAAATAATTGTAGAGGGAGTAAACAATGACTTCAGGACATCTGTCCATATCCTCTTGGATAACTACTCCTTTCCGCAGAGAGTTATCTTGATTGAGAATATCCTCAACAAGCTGAACCACATTGACAGTTTTAAACTCTGTGTCTTGGTTTGTAGTGAAGTGATGCTGGTGTACGGGTACATTCACCACTGTGACCTCCATACTTCCTTTACTACTCTCCTTTAGATACATGATTTGAGGCTTTAAGTTTGCCCGTGGTAGCAACTGGACTATGAAGTTTTGTGCACCACCTTCAGCCACCTCGTCATATTTTATCTCTGGCCCACTCTTGGAAAGTGTGAATTTGGCCTTTTTGGCTATCATTGTCTCATTTACCTCAATTATTGAGCCATCTGAATGTATGGCATTGCCATGATAAAGGGAATCCAGTATTTCCTTGATGTTCTCCACCATCGTCTCAATTTCGTCCTTGCTCTGATGCCCAATTTTGTCAAATGGCATTGATTCAAACAAGTGGGTTCTGTTCTTGACGTTAGTTATCAGATAGTCCTGAGCTTCCCCACTCTCTCCTGCTGGGCTTTGTGATTTTGATGTATGCATAAAGGAATGCTCTTTTTCTATGTTTGTTGGGATAAACGGGTTGTTTTGGAAAAGAGCCGCACTCGTTTTGATTTTCACCCCGAGTTCTTCTGTATCAAGAGGGCTTGTAGGCTTACCCTCGAAGACTGCTTCACCAGTAGAAACCTCTTCCCTACGTGAAAACTTGTGGTCAGTGCCTTGACCAACCATATGAATACATGGGCCCTGTTTATTGGGCTGATATGTCAAATCAAGACTTTTGGTACATGCATTGCTTTTGTTTTCGCTGTGTAAATTATATTTGCTACACATTTCAAAATCTTGTTTTCGTTTTTGGACTGCCCCTGTCTCATCCCCAGAAATAGAAACTTTCCCCTGGAACTTATTCTCTGGACTTAGTGTGTATGTGTCCACAGATTGACTCTCAAATATCTTTTTGGTAGCCTGAACATCTATTCTTATCATCTCCTCATCACACTCTCTTTTAGGATCTGGACTAGAACCAAGCCTTTTGTCATCCTCCAAGATCCCCTCATCACTTTCATTACGTGGCCTCTCTTCATGCTCCTCAAACACAGCTGATGTTTTTCTGACATCGTCTCTTTCCGCTTTTCCCATCGCCTTGTGCATCTTGGGGGTGTAAGGAGATACTTTGTTACTCAGGGCACAGTTCTCAAATATCAAGCGTCTTGAAAGGACCTCTCCCTCGTATCCACTTTCACCAGCTATCCCCCCAGTCTCCGAGCTCAAAACCTCAGCAAGTTCCTCATCCACAATTTCATCTAACATCTTCAGCTCTGGGTGAGTGTGCTTCAGGAGCCTTCTCAGCTCACATTTCTGCCGCTGTTGGTGTAGCTTTTCTTTGGAAAGTTGGGATGGCATGGACTGTGGCAAGTGTGCCTCAGCGATGTCCTTTGGTTTTGGATTATGACTGGCTGAAGGAGGTGTAAGGAGGTCATCTTCCCTTTGCTGGGATTCTTCGGACATCTTAGAAGAGCAGATTAACAGTCTCATCATTGAGTCCTTTGTAACAGAAATGAGCTATCCAGTGGAAATCATGCGCAGGAGTGTGGAGACATGCTTACAGCAAGTGATACCGTCCAGATCATACAACTTGACTTGCTTGCCACATGCCAGGTGTCAGTGGGTTAGCCGAGCTCCAGAGCAACCAGCAAATACAACCACAATGGTAAATAAAATAAAATGTTGAGTGGAAGATGTCCAATATCTGTTTCTTGCAACTCTCAGAAAAAGCAAGCATTAGATTCTTGAGCTGTATAATAGTGTGGAAGATGTTATTGTGACAATGCAAATCCAATACACACTGTCATGCCTAATGTCGGGTGAAATTGTGCTTTACCTTGGTTAGTTTGACTCTTCTCCCAGGTTCAGATGACTGACCTTGTGCCTGGACGGAAACAAGGATCATTTCAGGTCGGGTTAATTGTTACTGGAAGATTTCTAATCATTATATGATACATTTTAGTGTTACACTGTATGGTGTTTCATACGACACTGTAAAACTAAATAATCTGAAGTGCGTAGCTATAAAGCTACTTTATTACAAGGCTTTGTTCAATACTCATTTCTGATTAGTCATCATGCTCGAAAACATTTAGCTTATGAATTAGGGTCAAGGGCCATGGATGCAATGTCCCGACTTTTTCAGTACCGATACCGATACGATACGTGGTCTTTGGGTATTAACAGATATCGAGTAACTATCCCACACCAGTGTTTAATTAATAAGCTGTATGCCTCACTGTGTGGAAGTGACTGGGATCATCCTTTTATATGTAAGGAAACATCAAGCTTGGCTTAACCATTGCTTTCCTAACTTTAAAAAACTAAATCTGAAAAATAAATAAAAGATGTAAATGTACTGAATTGTTATTTATTGACATAATGGTATCCGATACCAGATACCCACTCCAGCTATTTGAGCATTGGACCGATATCTAACATCAGTATCGTTATCGGTGCATCTGTAGTAAGGGCCGAATAGAAGAGAGTACAAAATGATTAAGCAGTTGTTTACCGGTTTTGAAAGGCTGCGTGTTGAATCCTGAGGTACCACCTTTGACAGGTAGAGAGCGGACATAACTTTGACTGAGACACACAGTTTCTCCTTGGTTTGGTTGAAGGAGCTGTCTCTGAAATCTGCATTTGACCTCCTCTTTTCATCTGCAGACACATCAAACACAGCGGTATAAATATGTAAAATGTATTTATGACACTGTGTCGCACTTAAGATATGAGCCTAATCAGAGCTGTCTGAGATTCCATGTTGACAATGGTATTCAGATCAAAGTATTTGCTGTGATGGACTGTAAATGTGCCATCAAGTTCTGCATGTGTAATTTGTGGTTAAAGTTGAAAGTAGACGTAATTGTTACTCACTTTGTTTCCTGATTAATATAAGCGGTTAAATAGGCAGCTGGTGTCAAAATACAGTGCTTTTCTTCAGAAACTGTGACTACATTGTATACAATTTAAACAGAATTTCAACAAGTGACTCATTGTTATAAATGACTTCTATGTTCGCATCCATGTCACCAAACTGTGTGTTAGCGATTTAAGGGTCACCCGTAACAACACTTCCCAAGCTGATATGTAACAGCTGCCATGTGGTCGAGTTATAAATGTACCACTTGTGGTGGAGATGGGCGGACACCTGACTCCACTGACACAAATACTGAGAGTTAAACGGACAGGCAAGTCACTGCAGCTACAGTTGACGAAGCAAAGTAAACACAAACAACACAATTGTTTATCGAAATACAGATAGTATCTTGACGAGCAGCTGTCAATCAGGAACACATGGCAAAAACAGACACTGTGACGTATAAAGTGAGAACTCTGATGGATTTGGTGAATTTTGGCTGCAACATTTACGTAAGTCAACCTCTAAAGTCTCAACACCCAAATATTTCAAGATTTACATAGTTGCAAAAACCATCAATCATGGGTATTATTATTATTATATATATTGGAGTACACAAGTTTTCAAGAGTAATTCATGTATAAGACACTTAACATGCGGGTAAGATTATTTCTACTCAGCAGACAGAATATTCTCTAGTTGCCCCATTCGATCAAAATACAAATCTCTACTCACAGAAAATGAAGAGCTCCCAGCTCCTTCTGACCTGCCTGCCTTCTTATTTCCTTCCAACCTTTGTGTTAGGTCTGATTTCCTGTTGGTTTGAGTCTGGTAACGGAGCCTCTGCCGCTCTCAGTCTCTCCCTCTCTCTGCCTCATTCCTGCCCCACTGACAGCTGACCCTTTCACCCACCTACACTTATTCAGGACTTGTTGCTTGCTGGCTATTTCTGTCCTGTTCTGAAGTGGTATACTATGCCCACACCAGGTTGAGTCAATCACTGCTTCTTGCACAGTCACTGTGCTGATATTCATCTCAATTTCACTTCTTCGCTTTCATTCATACCGACCACAGTTTTGACCTGAGTCACAGGACTCAGAGACGGCTTTCCAGGAAATGTTTACCAGAGGAGCCGGCATCTTGTTCGGGTTTTCTCAGTTGCAGGATGATTTAGACATTAAATAGGCTGATATTTGTTATTGTGATGGCTCGAAAGAAAAAGAAAAATGGTTCGGTAATTTTATAGCTTATCAATTCCCTGATCATTTCCTGGGATGTACGAATTATAGGTAAAACATGGCTTTAAAAACAGCTCCTTTTATACCCAAGTAAATGTTTCATATATAAGGAATTGAATGCATAAGGACAAGTATCACATTTTTACATGTTCAGCTGACCTGTTGTCCAGTGACTAAAGGACTCTCGGTGGTATCAGTGAATTTAAATCAATACATCGGAAGAACACAAATTGAACACCGTCTCTGATGTTTGTCATGGAACTTTTTACTCCACGATATTTGTGAAACTCCGAAAGTCCTGTGTCCATTAATTAATGCAAAGTGTCTTTTAAACATCTGAAAAGTTTTTGTTATTTGACTTTGAACTATAGTGTCAGAGCAAATCAAGGTCTGGAGCAGCTTGAGGGCGTGATGTTACAGCTCCCCCAAAACCTTGATCAGGGCTGCATATACGGGACAGTATCTCACTTGGTCTGATCAACTGCTCTTTGTTCTAGAAGTGTATTGAGTTCATTTTAAGATGCCAGATGTAGTTTATGACTGGGCTTTCTATAATTTGTATTCCTCGTGTTTTTTAAAATGTCTGCCAATCAAATTGACCTCGTCGAACAATAGAACGTTTTAATCTACTGATAACTACTCAATAGAGAGCTGCTTCCATGACCTTAGAAATGCTTCATTAGTTGGAATACATAGTGGTCAGGTTGGCGGTTCATCAAAGAGCACATTTGGTGAATGTCGTCTGGTACTCACCAGCTTGAGAGGCTGCAATTGTTTCAAAATCAATACCCCCGATAGTTTTTCTCCTCTCCATCTGGCTCTGATGCACCACCTAGAGAGAGACATAATAAACTGTCAGTGCCACTAAGTAGCCATATGTCTGTGTATGTGACAATATTAAGTCTTGATTAACTTTTGGAAGTAACTTGATGGACGTTACACGATGGAAATGACCATAAACCGGATCTTTAAGCTGTTAGAAGTGATTGTGTTTACCTTTCGAGTCACATGACCTTTTGCGTCAGTTTTAGCAGCATTAACTGGGGCGTCAGCAGGAATTTGGATCTTCGGTTCCTTTGCAGAGCTCTTTACCTCTTCAACCTCTCTATCCACTGCCGGCACGATATCTGCTCTCTTGTTTGGTGACGAGAAACTCACAGCTCTGAAACTGCTCTTCACCTTGTTTTGTGCGGCTGTCTTTGACTCAAACAGAGCCTTCAGGGCCCCAATGGCCCCAGCGCTGCTTTGAAGGCTCCCCATTGACTTACTGCGGGTCAGACTGGTTTTGTCCCGAAACTGTTCCCTTGCGTCATTTCTCCTCATCAGATACTCCAGACGAGTCCCTTTACTCTCCAGAATAGATGGTGTTATCTGACAGTGATGGACAAAGAAAAAAACATGTTTGTATAAAAAATGTTCCCCAAACTGAAGATGCTTTGTGTTTGAGTCAGAGGTTACCTCTTTTAACACCTGCTTGGGTTTTGCTTCACCATTATTTACAGAGGAGTCTTGAATAGATCTGCTTACTTTCACTGTAGTTTGATACCTTACAAACACAAAAACCATATTAATCATCTACTAACATACTGCACGTAGAAGGTTACAGACAGACTATGTGTTTAGTTGTCACAGTTGTAGAAAGAGTGAGGAGGATGGTGTTTCTGTCACCTGGCCACCAGATGGGACACAGATGTTGTCTTGTCCCGCAGCCCTGCCTCTGTCCGGGTGGGCTCGTCAACGAACGAGGGGACGCTCCTCACAGACTGGGTTCGTCTCAGGTTACTCTTCCAATCCATGACCAATCACGTCACAGCAGCTTTATCACCTAATATACATGACAGATAATCAATTATATTACCTCCATTATTGCGGTGTGTTTTCTTTGTAGAGGATCAGCAGACCCTGCATGTCACAGTCTGTTAATTTTTTAAGCCCAGCAATAAATTCAGTTTAACAATCAAGTGAACATTTTATCTACTCGTAAAGCTAAACATTTGCCCGCTAGCTTGTCTAAATGGCAGATTTTAACATCAATAACGTGAAGACCGTCATGAATGACAAGTTGCAAAGATTTTCAGGATGTCATGCAATTTAACAGCAATGCAAAAGAGTCTAACTACACATTTTTAAACTACTGTTTCATTAACGTTTTGGGATATTTAAAGGACATTTTGAGTAGGATCGTTACCTTAAGCATGTCGGAGAGCGTCTGTCCCCTGTGACAATCAGAAACACTTCTGCTGTATCACAAGACTGACACACGGCGTGAAGCATTTGTGAGCAAAGTCCTTTTTCTTCCTCATTACCACAGACTGTGTAAAATGATTTATGAACATGTGTAGAGTAGCAATCCACAGGGTAATATAAAACAAATCTGTAATGCAGAATGCATTCAGGCTGCTTTCATCTCAAGTAAAGAAGCCGATGTGAACGTCAATCCAGAAACAATTCATCCAACATCCCCGTGTTTTTCTCCATGTCAAGCTTCTTTTGTCATAATTGTGTGTTTTTTGCTCCTATGTGAGATTTCAGGAGAATCCTCGATGTCCGGTCAAACCTCCAAAGCTCAGATGTCATTGCTTGATCTTTGGGCAGCAACACACCACCCATTAAGACACGATTAACTTTATTGATCTTGAGGGGACGTTGTGTCATTACAGCAGCAAAGAGTGGGACAAAGACAAAGAACAACAAATAGAAAATATGGAATTCTGATATTCTGATAGTGTGCAGCAGCTGTATCGCTTTGAGAGCATTCAGTGGGCTTGTGTGAGAGTTTAAAGTTACTGATTAACACAGATTCTCAGGTTACAGATTTACAAATTTACAACGCAATATAGGAACATGTGAGCGCTGTAACATGTCGAGCTGTGCAAGCAATGTTAAAAGAAAATGTGTACTTTGCATCGGGTTGAAATGTTTGCAGTCTTGTGTGCATTTGGGTGCGTTGAAAATATTTGAAGGAACATTAAAATAAGTTTACATGATTATTGTTATACAGCACCCCTAGAGGTCCTAGTTAATTGAGTGGGTCGCTCAAGGACACTCCAGTAGGGTGGGTGCAACAACATCATCAGTTTCACTGTTGTGTACCTGATAGATATCACCTTTGTTAAATATAGCACTTTACTAACTTGCCACAAGAAATAACGAGTAAATCTGGCAACTGGAGAAAGCTTTACCACAAAAATCTGAAGATCCAAGAGGCTTTGGTTTGTACAACCCTCTATTAAGTTTGTGCCCCACTTTGAACGCTTCATTTGAAACACCAGTGAAATGAAACAATAATTTTTTTTACTGCTTCTTTTAAAGGCTCTTAGTCCTCAAATTAGGTTTCATCTGGCCGGGGTTCAGTAGCTCCAGACAGCTAGCAAGGAACAAGTGTTGAGGAAATTCGTCTCCACCCAGGAATTCAAAGACCAGCTGAGCCTCAGGGATCAAGTAGGAGCAGGAGGAAGCTCTGCCCCCTCTTGACCTCGTGACTAAAACGACACCAACACTGACCCCAGCCAGACTCCACCTGACACATGCTGCAGTACAACTGCACCAACTAACAAATGTGTACTGTAGTGCAGCTTTTCCAGTGAGTAAATTCGAAAAAAATACAATTTGAATGTTTGTAAAAACAAACTAATTACATATTATTCGTCATGACATTTAGCTTTTATGAGGCACTCATGGTGTATTGCCGTAATTATGACTATTGTGGCTTCTGGTTGGTACTGCAGCTTATAATCACAGTGCATACACACACACAGCAGCTTTTTCTTTGTGTGAAATGATAGGCGATTTTTGATAATAATGCCATCTTGTGGTAAAATATCTTTATTACAGTAAAACCATAGAGGCTTGGACAAAATTCATTGCATTCTCTAAAAGCGAATGTAACACTGGCACACTCCCTATTCCCGAGGCCCCTTCAGTGCCATTTTACATCCTTCCACCAGATGCCCTCACGCTGTCCCTCCAGTCCCCATCACCTGACTGCCCCACCCATCTACACACCTGTTCCCACTTTCCTTTAGGAGCCCTGCAGTTACCTGACCTGACCTTCCCCGCCCACTTGCTCACCTGCATCTCATTACCTCATCAGCCTCTCTACATTTACCGGCCCAGTTCTGTTGCCAAGCTGTTTTCTTGCTTTGTGGTTTTTACTTTTGAGCTTCTGGCTCGTTGATTATTATCACTTTTTTCATAGCTGAGGGCAGTGGTACGAGCTGAAAACACATGGACATCTCACCACTACAGTTGTTGATGTTACAAATTTCAGGTACAATTACTTTTTATAACTATTTACATTCTTTGAAACATAATGCTTTAATTACTCCACTACATGATGGCTGTGTAGTAAACCCATAAAATATAAAAAGGTACAGCAAGTGATGAGAGCTAACGCCACCACAGCCAGCTAGATTACATTTAAAATGGCCTTTGTGCTTTATGACTAATCCTACTTTTGTGACCTACATACATTTTATTTAGCTATGCAGCGACTCTACTCCGAAAAGACTTTTTACATTGAGTGAAAATAGAAATGCAGCAATCCGAAGACATCTTTGTAATATCCTTTATCTTGGGTTCCCTCTTATTTCACACGTGTGTAAAAGGCAGTAAAGGTTCGAGACAAGGGGAGCTTTTGTCAGGACGCACAATTCATATTCCCTCTCTTTAGTCTTGCTTTCTGTTAATCGGTCTTCAGACAAAGACAGAGCAACAGCAGCAGCAGCACATACCCCTGGGGCAAAAATGAGAGCTTCAGCCTGGCTGTCTCCCCCCCCTCCTCCAACTACAGTCTTCTCCCCTCCCTTCAAAACCCACTCCTGTCTCTGTCTCAAAGGCACTGCGGAGATGAAAGGGAATATGCAATGCACCGCCTTTGACTGGGAACTGTGCAGTGTTATTAGGGCAAGTTTACTGGCCTTGTCTGCGTTTTAAACGCACTTGCTTACACCAGCCAGCTGTTTTGGAGGGGAGGATCCGTGGCTACTAGGAAGGAGACTTGAATATCTGCAGATTACGCTCCATGACTGGTGAAGAGCTGCAAAGAGGAAAGCATGAATACACTCAAAGACACATCTGCCTGTCTTCCTGTGTTTGAATGAGTCAAAAACAACTGAGAAGGGATTCACATTGTTCCCCATGCGTAGCATTATACGGTAGTCCAGCAGGGGGCGATAAAGACCACTGAGACACAGCGCTCAGTATTGTTTAACCACACTCTAGTTATGTGGGAACATTACAGTGGGGCTATTCAAGGCCAACCTGGGTTATTTCAGTGCACCAAAAATAACCCATAACGTACAGCAGTGAGAGCAGAGACTCGAGGCAGATAAGGTCAGCACTGCTTAACAATGTTTAGCCAGTGACGCATACATAAGCATATTTAATCAAAGACGGTGAAATCAATTTATTTGCACCCTGTCTCATCATTTATACCAGAGAAATGCTCTGTCAAACGTACGCCCTTGTTTCCTCATTTAACCCTGCTGCAGTCCATTTTCTTTTTTCGTCCTGTCTGCATTACAGAAATGCCAATCTGACGTCTGCGGTGCTTTACAGAGCGCATGACACCGGTTGAACTGTTCGGATGTGAGTGTCGGACACATACACACACACCCCACGCACCTCACACAGCCAGCAGTCATGAGTTTCCCTGAAAATGGGTAATATGCATGCTTTATGACACGTAGGGCACAGTGTGTGTGACTCAGCAGCGCGTGTGTGTGTGATTCATGCTGC